AAAACTCCATGATTTATTTGTGCAGTATTATTTGTTGAACAGATGCAGAACAAGGGAGATGCATTGCAAACAGAATCTCAACTTCTAAGTACGTTTGATTATGCATGGAACACGGTTAATAACGGCACGCGTCGGCCTGATGATATTCTTCAAATGCTCATCAAAGTTTCTTCAGGCTCAAGAACATTTTCAGAAGTAGCCAAATCACTTCTACCCTTCACTCAAAAGAAAGTAGGGATACCAATAAAATCAAGCAGATTGCCTATCACAGATAGCAAATCAGACGAGGCAGACAATGGCGGCTACAATTTCTTATCTCGCGTGTTCAAATTCAACCGGTCACGTCCTAAGATGGTTCAGGTTCAGGATACAGCTGATTTTGCAGTTGAGAAGAATGGTAAAATTTGTGGAGTGATTTTGGACAATGGTTCTGTTTGTACAAAGATGCCGGTTGAAAAAAGAGTTAGGTGTCATGAACATAAAGGAATGAGAATTAATATGGTCAGTACAAAAGCAATGAGAAGATCCAAATCAGACTCTGAAAACGTGTTCGCTGCAAAAGCAATAAGGAGATCAAAGTCAGAATCAGAAAAAATGGGTGAGAGTTTTGTGGATGAGAGTATCACAAAGACTGTTATATGCGGAATTGTTTTGGAAGATGGATCAACTTGTAGAAAAGAACCAGTTAAAGGAAGAAAAAGATGTCATGAACATAAAGGGAAGAGAATCCGCGCATCTATTAGTATAAATCAGAAAAAGTGAGGATGAAAGAATGTAAAAAAAAATGGTATGCATAAACCAGAAAATGAACTTGTTCAAATTGATAGTTTACACAGAATTTATTTAATAAAAAATGTTGCCAATTGTTGTATCATAGACATCGGAAGAATGATGTATTTGTATTATCCCCTTGAAGGGTGTATTTGTTTGTGTAAAAGTGCAATTGTTGTATCAAAAAAAAAAAACTCAACAGTGTATTGAAGTTTCTGATTTTCTTTGTTTTGGTTAGTTTTTTAACTGTATTGTTCATCCTTATATCAAAGTTTATTGTAAAGTAATGGAGTTGAGTTTAGCAAAATGAGATAGATTCTTACAACATGACGAATCAACATCCTAATTCCGAATAACAAAGCCCATGTTTAGTGGCTGACAATGCTTTAAATAAAATTACTCTTAATGAAAAAATTATAAAAAGCAAAATATAAATTCTTAAAATATAAAATCAATTTTTGAATTGCTAGACCCGATTTATATCAGTAATATTAAAAAATATATACATCAATCATTATTTTATATGATAATTACTTCCCCATCTCATTATAATTGATTATTTATAAATTTAAAAAATAGTTTGCTCTAAAACAAATTATTTTTAAATTTTGAATATGATATTAAATACTTTATTTTCAATTGTGACATCTTATCAATATTATTTTTATCTTTCTCAAATCATCATATTTGGATAAAAAAGTATATGGGATAAAGAGGAGTATCTTTTAAGTTATCTTCTTGGTAAATTTGAAAGAAAAAAAAATTGGACAACTATAAGATATTTATGCTTAAAAATAATTAAAGTGTCAATAGAAAGTCATAGATTTTAAGGTTAGTTGAAGGTTACTTAGCCAAGGCAAGCAAATGCAAATACAATTTAATGTGAATCAATCGAATCTTTCTCGAATTTATTAAAATTAATGGAGGCTAACATAACTCTAAATTCAATCAAAATATATTAAAATTGAATAATTGAACTATGTTTTATGCTATAAGATAAACTTCAAAGAAATGTTTTTAGACAAACCACCATTTTAGTTTATAGAAGTCGTTTATACTTAAAAATACCTAATGTGTCTATTAAAATTTGTCAATTTTAAAGTTAGTTGAAGGTTAGAGTCAAGGTCAAACAAGAATAAACACAATTATACATGTAAAATTTATTGAATAATTTATTAATGGCAAATTCTTAAATATTTATGATAAGTAGTTAAATATGGATATTTTTAATGAAAATTGAATTAAAAAAATTAATATATAAATAAAAAATATATAAAAAATAATATAATATTAAATGTGATTTTTTCATTGAATGAGAATACCACCTACCACCTTACTCTAGATTTAATAAATAAACACGGCAAAATAATTGATTCATTAAACTTTATGACTATATTTCGTGTCAATATAATCACTAGTAAAGTATGACAAAGATCATAAAATTACGAGTCAGTTAAACAAAGAAAAATAAAATTAGCTAAAACATACTCCCACAACAAACTAAACATCGTGCACTACATATCACGATACATATCACGAAGGTTTACAAATATCTTTACAATTTTTTTTAAAACTTGTATATATCCCAATAAATTTACTCTTTGCCAAAGAAAAAAGTTTCAAAAATAAGTTAATCTAAAAACAAATATTAATTTTAAATTTTGTGAAATGACTATATATATATATATATATATATATATATATATATATATATATATATATATATATATATATATATATATATATATATATATATATATATATATATATATATATATATATATATATATATATATATATATATATATATATAAATAATTTAATTGACACAAGGTAGGTAAATGTCAGAACCGTTTATTTATTTAAAATGTTTGACTTTTATTTTAATCAATTAAAAAATAATATTAACCGATGATAGTGATATATTGATAGTGTAAAATTTTAGACTGATAGTGCATAACAATTAATCTTTTATATATATTTTTTAATTGTAAGAAAAAGTATAAAAGTAAAATAACAATTAATCTTTTATATATATTTTTTAATTGTAAGAAAAAGTATAAAAGTTTTACTTGAAAATGCATTAAAATTAATCTCATTTTGTTTTTGATATATGGATAGAAGGTAGCAGTGGCAAGTAGTAGCAGTGTAGCATGGCCATGGAGCTCAAATTTCACTCATCAATTGCTTCTGTAAACTTCGCAAACCCATCTTCATCTTCTTCCACCCCATTCTGCACCTATGCTGTTCACCCTCTTCGAAACGGAACCAACAACTCTTGTTCCACTCACCGAAGAAAGATTCCACCTTTGCGTATCGGCAACCCTTCCATCCAACCTAAATTGAACCATCGCCAAAGCCTCAATCAACATCAAAATGCAGACTTGTCGCGTTTACTTCAAGAGGGTAACGTCAATCAAGTTTTGGAACTCATGGGTCAAGGTGTTTTTGCTGATTATAGTGTTTACATTTCCCTCTTGAAATTATGTGAGGATTTGAAGTCACTTGAGTTAGGGGAAATGGTTCATGATTTTGTCAGAAGATCGAAATTTGGAAGGGAAGTTGAAGTGGGAAATGGGTTGATTGGAATGTATGTGAAATGTGGTAGCTTGAAGGATGCGCGAAGGGTGTTTGATAAAATGCCTGAGAGAAATATCAGTTCTTGGAATTTGATGATTAGTGGATACACTGCGAATGGCTTAGGGAATGATGGTTTGTTAGTTTTTAAGAGGATGAAGCAACAAGGGATAGCACCTAATGAGGAAACTTTTGCGTCGGTTTTGGCTGCATGTGTGTCGGCAGAAGCTGTGGAAGAAGGGTTAATGCAGTTTGAATCCATGAAGGAGTATGGAATTGTTCCAAGCACGGAGCATTATTTGGGGGTTGTTAATGTTCTGGGGTGTGCTGGTCAGTTGAATGAGGCTGAGGAGTTCATTGAGAGTATACCAATTGAAGTTGGAGTTGAGTTTTGGCAGTCTCTTCGAAATTTTGCAAGAATCCATGGAGACTTGGAACTTGAAGATCGTGCTGAAGAATGGTTAACTGCTCTTGATCCTTCAAAAGCTGTTGCTGATAAAGTGGCCGCACCTCATAGAAAGAAGCAGTCTGCAATTAACATGCTGGAAGAGAAGAATAAGGTGGCTGAATATCGGTGTAATATGCCCTATAAAGAAGAAGGTGATGTGAAATTGAGAGGCTTGACCGGGCAGATGAGGGAAGCAGGTTATGTTCCTGATACAAGATATGTTTTGCATGACATTGATGAGGAGGAAAAAGAGAAGGCCTTGCAGTATCATAGTGAGCGTTTGGCAATTGCTTATGGTCTCATCAGTACTCCACCGAGGACTACACTTAGAATCATCAAGAATCTACGCATATGTGGAGACTGTCACAATGCTATCAAAATTATGTCAAAGATTGTTGGAAGGGAGCTCATTGTGAGGGACAACAAGAGATTCCATCATTTCAAAGATGGGAAATGTTCCTGTGGAGATTATTGGTAGTGTTGGTCGAAATAATTCTCAAATGTAGATACTCTGATAATTTATTGCCATAGATTGTTTTTGTTTCCTGCGAAAATATGTAAGGTTCAAACCCATGTTTGAAAAGATCAAAACAAAGTTTTGTTCCACCAATGAATTAACCTATGTATCTTATTTTCTTTCTCGCACTGTTAGACTGCAAAAAATTAAAGCTACCAACATCCAAACAGAATGGTTAACAATTTGTCTTTCCTCTTTTTCCACACAAACATGAGCATGTTGCGATATCTTATGAGTAGTGATATTTGGAAAGCCAAAAAACTAAAAATAATTCATCAATTATAAATGTTATAAAGAGAGAAAAGTAATTAAAAAAATAACAATGCATCCAATCCATATAAAATTAATGTACAAAAAAAAATTCTCTGAAAGGATGTTACTGTCAACATTTCTATATCATTCTATCTACTTGCACATTCAAAAAGTGCAATTTATTCTTCAATTGTTCATACACAACCTTTCCTTCCTAAACAACATTAAAAACATTTTCTACTTTATTAAAATCAATAAGATCTTAAATCAGTGTGCATCATAGCCTCTATCTATATACAATTCGAAACACTGCAATGTGCAGCTAAAATAATATGTGAACAACAATGTGAATTGAATGAGAAAAAGCCAATTTGAAGCCTGTGAAGAGTTAGGACAGGTTATTCCTACTATGAGGATGGTTGGCTGATTCGTATGTTAGTTTGGTCCATCTCTTGATGGTACTCTCAGCCACAGTTTCATAGTATCATAAACTGTGAACCCAATAGCCGCAGATGGAACAACCTGAATTACAAACAAAACAAAACAAATAAGCTTAATTATAAAGAATGGTTTTTTAAAGTGTAAGCTTTTCTAGGGTGCTATTACTCTTCCTACCTTTATGTAATTGATACTCAGCCCTGAAAACAGCGTCTTCCAGCCTTGCTTTTGAGCAATCAAAACAATTGATCTTATAGTCCCCTTCAATTCAGCTTCATCGAATGCAGCGTGTTTTTGAACCTAACCAGGCAGTGTTAACTCTATCATGTTACTCAACATTCATTTATAAGTTTAAGGACTGCCAAGTAAATTAAACAAACCTGCATTTGCCTCCTGACAACTTCAAGAGGATATGTGAAAGTCTGACCCAATAAACCAGCCACTGATCCACATGTGAGTTTCGCCATAATGCCTTTCTTGTAATCCTCAGGGACATGACGCTTCATTTCCTCATAGAAGTAGAATTTCAAACCGGCATATGGAAATATTCCAAAGAGTGTCGGGGCTGTGGCCATGATTAACATCATTAGAGTCCTACAATATCAACACAACAGGGAAATACAATCTTAACTAAATTACCAATCTCAGACACAAGCAGATTTTAACACATACCTACTCCCCTATAGAGACCTCTAATGCCACCATCTTTATAAGTTTTCGAAAGACAATCACGAATCCCTCTATACACTTGTTCATTATTTACAATCCCAGAAACATTCAACTTGGTTGGACTAACAACCTGCAGGTTCAATTCCAAATGCAGTATAGTTCACACTTCATATAATCATTGGGGAAAATTGATTTGATTTTCCCAGGGTCTTTCAATATATAATAAAGTTTATACAAAGACAACCGGACAACAAACTGCGCGGCTACCTGATAAGCTAACTTAGTCCGAATTAAGTCAAGTGGATAAGTAAAAATCACAGCGGTGCCTCCGGAGAGTGAACCTGCCATAAGGTCAAGCGTAGGACCTTTCCAAACATTAGGAAAAATGTGCACAATCCATCTGCGATATTCCTCATAAGACATATAATGAAGAGCTGCATAAGGAATAATCCTCGCAACACTTGCTCCATTTCCTCTGCAAATATCAACGCATTGATGATTCTGATGAATTGATAAAGAAGATAAATCAAGTAAATAAGAATTGTAAGTACCTGTAGAAACCTAAAAGACCTTCGGTTTTGGCGATTCTTGAAACTGATCCGAACAGTCCCGTGCTATGAAACTCGGCCCTTCGGGTCTGCAAAGAATGATTGTGATGAAAGAATAGAATTGAAGTAAAGAAGGAAAAGAGAAAGCAAGAAATGAGGTTAAGAAAGAATCTTTGGAATAGTAAAAGATGAAAAGACAAGTGGATTGAGGAATAAAGTACCTGGAAGAGAATTTTGACGCGCTCAAGAGGAGCAACGGCGGTTTTGGCAAAGCCGCCGGCGAGTCCACCGGCGAGAAGTTCCTTGGCGAAGAGAGGAACTTGATCGAGCGTGGACTCTGTCTGATTTGCAGCCATTCAGAGAAAATGAAGTCCTCGCAAACAGGAAAAGGAATACGAAAAGAAAATAGAGATTTGTTTCTGTGCGTCATGTATTTAATGCATATAAATTCATGGCATGATATAAATTATTTAAACATTTAATTTTATAAATTTATTTAGGTTTGATTACTTTGTAACAAAATAAATTAAGGTAAATGCATATGGATAAGAATAAAGTGTGAAACATAATACTCTCTCTATGTAATTAGTAAATTGATAGATTTTACTTATTTGTAAAAAACCTAAATAGTTTTTTAGACCAACAAAGAATTTAAAAAATATATTGTTAGGAATATAGTTTTTTATAATTTAAAACAATAGGAATATATAGTATGTTTTTTATTTCTTTGTACACAAATTTATCTTTTAGGTAAACAATACATTGTTAGAAAAATAATTATGTGTAATTAATATGATTGATTTATTCATTTATGCCATATAAAGTAATTAGTAAATAAATAAATTTTTGCATGAAGGAGCTTTTGATGAGAACAAAAGTTATCTCACGAATTTTCATATCCTATTCCCTTATATGTGTAATAGATCTATGAAGTTGTATATTTTTGTATATGAATTAACTATATGAAGTATGAAGTATGTTAGTTCAAAAGAATGACAATGATGATTTTGAAAGAAGAGTCATTTATTATCTTAGCGGAGTTTTAAATGACGCTGAAATTATGTATAGTTCAATAAAGAAGTTGTTTCTTTGTATGTATTTCTCATGTATCAAACTGAAATCTTATATAAAGTTTATTGATATTTTTGTCTATTTGCGTTTTGATGTTATTAAGCATATGTTGTCCAAATCTATTTTAAATAGTCTAATGAAGAAATGACACTACTACGAAAAACATATACAACTACGGTTAGAAAAATGATATCATCACACGTGACCCACCGTTATGAGTAGCGTGTGGTTGTAAGTTCGCTATATACCACTACGGATGTCGTTGTGATATATTAGGTAGCACTCTACTTATAACTACGATTATTGATATCAAGCGTTGTTACATAGTCTCAAGGTCATGGGTTTGAATCTCAGAAGTTCCGTAAAAAATTATATTAGACGTGTTGTCTATCACCGTAATCTTTTGTATAAACTGTTGTGAAATATTTATTAGTTTTTAAATTAATCTCTTAACTATTAATTAATTTTTAAAAAAAATTATATTTTATTTATTTAGTTATCAATGAATTTGATGTGACTATAATGGTTAATATTATTGATATAATTACTTAAAATTATAATTTATTCATATATTTTAATAGTTAATATTTTTATGATATATTTAATACGGTATAATTTAAAGGATAAATATTATTTTATTAATATAATAAAATTCGAACAAATATTTATTTTGGAATAACTTATATTTTGTGGATTATGATTATAATTCTCTCTATTTTATAATGTGTAGAAAAATATTTTTAATTAAGATATGAACTGTTTTATTATTTTCGTGTGTGAAGTTATTTATTCTCCTTAAATAGTTGTTTATTATCTTGTGTTTTTATTCAAATAGTCGGTATAATTTATATTTATAACTATATATAAAGGGGATACAAGTTTTTGGTGTGGTTTATTTTTGTTCCAAAATTACCCTTATTTAATTGTAATATTTCCATAATTATCTATGCAGTTTGTTTTAATTACAATCATGTGTGAGCAAGAATCTCAACCGCTCAACCAAAACGAAAACCGCCGTACACAAACATTTAAGTGTGAAACAACTGCTCTTCATTTCAATAGCAAAACAAAAGTAATTACAAAACTTGGTAGAGAATCCTGAATAACAATGGAGTAGACTCTTATCATTTTTTTTCTTTTTTTTCTTATCAACATATTATCCTTTCCTTTCTCCATCCCTCTAATATATTTTTTCATGTTTTCACTTTTTAATTTTCTTTTAGATATGTTCTTAAACATGATAAGGTCAAAATATATAAATCATTTAATATTATCACTTTTGTATATGTTCATGTATGTTTTATTGGTTTATTCAATTTAGTTTAATTTTGTTTTGTTCTAATGTGTAGCTTTTGATTTTAGTGTCTGAGTAAAAATACATTGCTCTAATTTTACAGGTTTTGATGAGATTGTCATTTTTCTGTGACTAATAATTTAATAATCATATATATTTTCATCATTTTAGTGTTAATTTAGGAATCATATATATTTTCACCATTTTAGTGTTAATTTAGGAAATCATATATATTCTCACCATTTTAGTGTTAATTTAATAATCATACATATATTTTCACCATTTTCACAATTACTCAGTTTCTTTCTTGGTCAATCTCTACCTTTTCTCCTTGTGCATTTTTCTTTCAGTTTTCACAATTACTCGGTGTCAATCTCTGTTATGGTTAGTTTTATACATTTTCATTTTGTAGGATAAGCGGATAATGTCACAATAAAACCATGACAAAGATAAAAAAGGTTGATGATTAATTTGTGGACATGAGTGAAGTTAATATTTGTTTTGGTGAACATGGTAATATATTTTGATATGTTAGCATGCATTAAATAGTATTAGAATTGACCGTTAAAATCTTTTTATGAAATTGAATGCATTTTTCTATTTTTTTTTAAATTTCCCTTACAAATTGTAACTGCTTCTACCATTGTTAACTGTTGAAACTTAAACTGCATAACTCTACCATTTCAGATGCACGACATTTGTTTCCATGTCTTTCATTTCCAAACCCATGATAATAGTAACTTAATGTCACTGTAAATCATTTTTGGATGTTTGGATGCTATATATATTTTTTCAATTTCACATCAACTGAAGGCATAGATTATATATTCTGCATTGTTCAAATTATTTGTGCTTTCCTTCTCCACACATGTAAGTCATGTTTGTTTATCTATAGATTAGATGTGGTCTGTGTCAATTTGGATGTTATATACACCAAAGTATGATATGAGAACTAACCATTTACATTGATGTCTATGAGGTGAATTAAATTTAATTGAATTGCGTTGCAGAAAATGGTTTTGATTTGATATTACAGGAAGTGATTGAAGAAGAAAATTTATGAGAAATCATCTTCTAATGATATATCGGTTTTCGATGAATTATTTTTGCAATGATAGTTCATGGATACCCAATTTAACCACAATGCCACTGAGAAAATGTAAAAAAAATATAATCTAGAGATAATTGATTATATTTATTGCATTAAATTATGTGTCTTCAATATACACAAAATGAAAGGAGTTGTATTATGTCTTCTCATACAGTTTTCCTTTTAAGTATAGGGATTGCTATAACTATTTATTAAAATAAGACCTACAATTTACCAATATCGAAGGTTACGAGGAAAAAAGAAAGTATGTTTTTGTTAACCTTAATGGTATTTATTAAGAAAAAAGGTAAGCTTTTGCTTGCTATCCTTAACAATAGTAGTTATTACATAAGACCCTCACTATTTTTTCCTACAAGTACAAGTAGTAGTTGCAAGTATGTTTTGTATTATATAATAAAGACAAAGGTAAAATGGTTTATTGTATCCTTTTATATCTATTAATCATTTAAGAAGAGAGCGAAAACTTAGAAAATATTAGAAACTTTCTTATTCTTACTCAGTAGACAATAATATTTTCGTAGTTTAATTATCATCAGTTGTCTTTATGATATATTGTTATTAGTTTTTAAAACTTCTATTATTTTTACTGTACTTTTTATTCTATTAATTATTATTATTTTGTTTTTTTTTATTCTTTTATATTCCCTTCTTATTTCCTTTTTTTTCTAAATTTTTAATATAGTTTAATCCTTTTTCTTCTTTATATGTTGCGAAGGGGTTGTTCATATTGTTGAGGTATTTTTCAATACATATTTTTTTACCCTCTATTTATTATATTTTTTAAAATTTTTTTTACTATTGTGTATTTCAATTCTTTTGTTTTGTATTTTTTTTAATTATATATTTTTATAGTTTATACAATAATGAAGAAGAGAGGGAAATTTCCAGATTCTTTAGGAATTTAAGAATTGTGATGTAATTTTCATGAAGTTGAATTTTAAATTTGAGATTTCCTTTCATTTATGAGATTAAAATTAGTTTAATTATGTTAGAATAGAAAAAGAAGTTTAAAATGTGAGGTGATCATTAGTACAAAATAATAACCATCATCATATAATAAAGATTAAAAAATAAGTCATTTATATGCTAATTATAACTACAAAATAATGACAATGATTCATTGTAGTAATAGTTTTTTTTTATAACAATCCTTTTTTTTTTTAACAATCATATTAAAGTTTTAATTGACAAGATTGAAATAGTATAAAGATAAAGACTATGATTTTTTAACCAAATCATCCTTCACTAAAGGTTTTGTATATTTAATGTATAGAGTCAATGTTAATCTAATATTTTTATGTCTAAAACAAACTTTTTAGAAATATTTCCTTTTACAAGTACATATACATGAATATTTATTTTAGAGACATATATGAAGATTTATATGTGAGAGAAATAGAGATAGAGTCTAAATAATATCAGTATCTTTAGAAAACATATATTTTTTTATTAAATAAAGTAATATTATCTATACTGATATTACATGGTATAGACATTTTAATTGGTTGTATATGTAAATAAAGTAATATTTTTTTAATAAATAAAGTAATATTAACTATACTGATAATTTACACATACACATACTCCAAGAACAAATGTCAAAATAAGTAGTTATTGTTAGAACACAGATTGGTTCTTAATAATATCTCTTTGTTTTGATCATAACTATTAGGAAAATTTGTATTTAAGAATTATATACTCTAAAATTTGCTTGAGAGTTTTTACTGCAGATAGTAATGAAATTAACACTCCAAAAGCAAAATTGAATTGTATACAAGAAATTAACTTGACTCTGAAGCGCCAGATGCACTCATTAGAAGATTTTGATTGCTGCTAACAGAAGATTCTGAGCGTAGCCTCCAGAAGGATCTGAAGCAAGA